ACTAAAAATACAAAAATTCAGCTGGGCATGGTGGCGCGTGCCTGTAATCCCAGCTGAATTTTTGTATTTTTAGTAGAGACGGGGTTTCACCGTGTTGACCAGGATGGTCTCAATCTCTTGACCTCGTGATCCACCCGCCTCGGCCTCCCACAGTGCTGGGATTACAGGCGTGAGCCACCGCGCCCGGCCCCCCCGAGTTATTATTTGAGGACATATATGCAATAGGTTATACCGGCTTGGCTGTATACAAGGATGAAATTTATTTCTCTTTGTAATCTCTTTTGTGGATTGCCTGTGATGACCACTGCAGTGTGGTTTAATGCTTATTTAAGAATAAAACTGTTTTCTCTTCTACTTTTTTGGAAAGGTTTTCTGGATTATATCTTATTTTTAATTTTGTCTCTAACACCTTCAAATGTCTTTCTACAGGGGCTTGGCTAAATAAACTTGGCACCTCCACACCATAGAATACTACACAGCCATGACAAAGAACAAGGAACGTGTTTTCATTGTTGAATAAAAAATGCAAGGTGCACAACAGTTTACCACTTCTTCTGTAAAAAAAAAAAAGAGGTCTGAGAAGATTCTGTATTTGCTTACATTTGTATAATCTCTGAAAGGGTAAACAGGGACTGATAAAGGTGCATGTGTGTGTGTGTGTGTGTGTGTGCACGCAAAGATAAACTGGGCAGATAAGGGAGAGGAAAAGGATGAAAACTTTTCACTGTACACCTTACATTTTATGATTTTTTTGAAACACGTGACTGCATTATCTATTCAAAATAAATTAAAAGGGAAGGGGAGTGTAGTGGTGGCAAGCAAACAAAACCTGTATAAGAAGTCCCAGGGACTGGGGGAGGTGGCTCACTCTTACAATCTTAGCACTTTGGGAAGCCAAGGTGGGCAGATTACCTGAGCTCAGGAGTTTGAGACCAGCCTGGGCAACATGGTGAGACCCTGTCTCTACTAAAACTACAAAAAATAAGCCAGGTGTGGTAGCATGTACCTGTAGTGTGCACTCAGGAGACTGAGGCAGGAGAATCACTTGAACGTGGGAGGTGGAGGTTGCAGCGAGCTGGGATTGCACCACCGCACTCCAGCCTGGGCAACAGAGCAGGACTCTGCTTCAAAAAAAAAAAAAAAAAGCCCCAGACCCAGACATTCTCTAAGCACTTGATTCTGTTCATTCCTGAGCTCAGCCTTGAGCTTAGAACCAACTGAAAACTAATTGCACATGTTGGGGGTTCACATTAAATTTCTTCTTTTTAAAATGATTATTTTTGAGACATGGGTTTTTGCCATGTTGGCCAGGCTGATCTCGAACTCCTGGACTCAAGTGATCTGCCTGCCTTGGCCTCCCAAAGTGTTGGGATTACACGTGTAAGCCACTGTACCAAGCCTGCACCTCTCCTTTGAAGGCTGATATGAGTGTAAAAGCAGAGAATGTCTTTATTTAAAAAAATGAAAAACAAAAAGTAAAACAAAATAACAATCATCACCCGCCCCCTCCATTTGAGATAATACTTCCAGGGGTTCTGCATATCTGGTCTCCAGCCTGGTGGGGGAGTGTGCTTTCAGAGGTTCATGGGTGGGCCTTCCCTAGCCCCACCAGCAAATCATCTCCGCCTGCCTCCGGGAGGGCACTTACTCTCCCACAAGTAGGGCTTCATGGGCCAGGAAGGATGACAGGAAGGGGTGTGGGGGTACCACATCGTCCCTGCTGGGAATCCGGGAGCCCAGATGCTCAAGATTCGACCGTTAGCCACCTGTCTTGCAGAAGCTCCTCTGTGAGACTTCGGGGCAAAGGAGAGAGGGCAGGGGCCTTTCTCAACCCTTCTGGCCATTTCTAGGTTGTGTCGACTGTCACTCTTGTCACCACCATGGATTGTCACATCAGCAGATGGCTCAGGAGCTTGCTTTATGCCGGCTGCTGCTTCCTTTTGTCTTCGTGCCATGCCTGTGAGGTGGATGGTAATCCCCATTGCATGGATGAGGAAACAGGCACAGAGAAACCAAGTGATTTCTCCAAGGCACACAGCCTGAAGGGACAGCTCGCCCTCCCAGCTGTCCCTTCTAACACCCTTGGGCCCCCCTCCGGCTACACGCTGCAAATCGGTCCACTCTTGAGAGTCAAAGCAAAGGCGATCTGAACTGGCAGTCACAGGGGCTGTGACACAGAGTTGCGGGTAGAGCTGTCTGTGCCTTGCATTTCCCGTTCCCATGGGTGGCCTGTGACCTTCCCCACAGTCCCTAGTGGGCACTTGCGTTCATGGTTCAAGTAGTCAGACTCTGCCTCTCTGCTTCTGCCATTTGCTCTGTGGCCTGGCCTCTCTGGACCCCAGTTGCCGGCTGTTAGCGATGGGGACGGGGTTGGTGGCCGGCCTAGGCCGGGCAGTGCAGGCTGCAGAAGTCGGCAGACGAGAAGAGCCGCAGCACGTTTACCAGCGGAAACATGAACAGCGCTCCGAGCAGCGAGCCCAGCTGCACCGCCGCCCCGCACCACAAGAGGGCGCTGCGGCTGCGGTCACGCAGGATCACGCCCAGCATCACCTTGACGTAGCTAAGGCAGCCGCTGAACAGCACCCACGAGGCCACCTGCAGGGACGGGCGGTAAGAGATGCAGAGTGACGGGGTTTGCGGGCTGAGCGCCAGGACGAAGAACTCTCCCAGGGCTCAGGGAAACCCATGGGATACTCCCCAGGTGCAAGGAGAGCCTTCTGGGAGTGATGCTGCGGGGCTGACAGGTCCCATGAGTTGACCGCCCAGGGGCAAAGGAGAGCCCAGTGGTCTTCTGGGTTCATGTGCCCATGTTCAAGTCAAGGGCATTTGAGAGAAGTCCACTGCTGAGGTACACATGGTGGGAAGCGGCCTGCCAGCCACCTCGATTCCCCAAGCCTCCACTTCCACATGCGGAAGGGGCACCCCTCCCACCTGGGGCTTCCTTGGAGAGCCCCACAGACTCTGCTCGCTGGAAAGCGCTGTGCCCAGGCTCTACCAGGCCTTGGCTAGGAGGTTATGGGCATGGATCGGGAGCAGTCCCCCCCCCTTGGCTGGATACTCACGATGAGGACTTCCCCACCCCAGTGGCCCTGCAGGAGCGGGCAGGGGCTCATCACCGCCATGGCCATGTTGTAGCCCCCAAAGCAGGTCCCAAGCATGGAGAGGACCCCCAGGAACGGCAGAGACCTAGAGAGAGTGGGGAGGTGAGTGGAGGAGGTGAGAAGCCTGACCTCTGTCCCCCTGCCCCTGGGGGCCGTGTGGATCGCCAGTGTCTCCAGGGTTAGTTAGACTCATGTGGAAAATTCCAGGCCGCCTGACTCAAGTGGGCCAGGGAGGCTCCTGAAAGGGCAGGAGCGGCCTGAGTCGTCCCCAGCCTTAACCGTAGGGCCTGGAACCCAAGCAAGAAAAGCGCAATGGACTCTGACACTGGATGGTCCTGGTTCAAATCCCAGTTCTTTTCTTTTTTTTTTTTTTTTTCAAATTTGAGATGAAGTTTCACTCTTGTTGCCCAGGCCGGAGTGTGATGGCACGATCTCCACTCACTGCAACCTCTGCCTCTCAGGTTCAAGTGATTCTCCTGCTTCAGTCTCCCAAGTAGCTGGGATTACAGGCATGTGCCACCACGACTGGCTAATTTTTTGTTTTTAGTAAAGACGGGGTTTCTCCACGTTGGTCAGGCCGGCCTCAAACTCCTGCTCTCAGGTGATCCCAAAGTGCTGGGATTATAGGCGTTAGTTACCACACTTGGCCTCAAATCTCAGTTCTACTGTTTAAGCTGAGACTGGCCTCTGAGGCTCCAAATGGAAGTTCTGCAAGGCTATGTGATCTCCGGGAGCAGAGCATGCAGGGCCTGGCTCAGCTGTGGGCCCACCTGGTGTTTACCTGCTGCCATTTCCTCCTGCGACACCCCCAGCCTTGGCCAGGAAGCTGGGCTGAAGTGAAGACAGCTGGATTGGGCATTGGTACAGCAGGATGTTCTGTGCTACCTCAGGGGATCCCTCCCTGTCTGGCCTCAGCTACCCGCCTCTGCATGTGGGGTTTGCTATCTCCAGGGGCCCTGGAAGCTGGCTTGTTGCTGCTAGGAACATCTCTCTGTAGGTGGTCTTCCATGCGAACCTACATCTGACAACTGAGGACACTGTCCTTCCTCAGAGGTCCTTGTCCCTGGGGTCCCACTCTCCAGTCTCCAGAACCCTAAGACTGGTCCATGCCCTGGGTAAGAACAGATAGGGGTCTGCCTACGCCTCTAAAGACTCTTTCTGCTCCAATGTTCTTGGAGTCCACGACTCAGATTCTGTAATTCTAATATTTAGGGTTTCTTGGATTTGCAGATCTGGGCCTTTGGTCCTGCTTCTCTCAGATCCTCCACCGTCCTTCCTGTTTCTAGGCCCTAAGGTAGAAAATCCAGCTTCCTGGCAAGCTTTCTGTCTAGCTCTTCTGTCCTCAGTGTCGTCCTCCCTGGGCTGGGAGAGTAGGTCTGAGCATGCCCGAGAGGGAAGGCTTCCCTGAGAAGGGAAGCCCCTGCCTCAGAACCATCTGGGTTCTTTACTAAAAACTGCAATCCCAGGTCCCAGGCTAAGCTGGTTCAATCTGTGTTTTATCAACTTGCCCAGCCGTTCTTCTACAACCGTGGCTCTAAGGGAACCAGCTGGAGGTTAGAGGCAGGAGGGCAGGGCTGAAATCCTGGGAACTGGACCAGGTCAAGCTCTTTCTCCAAGCCTTATGGTTTCCCCTTGTGAATGGGAACCCCAGTGGCTGCCTGCTGTCCTCATGGACTGATGGCAATGATGGTCGACACTTAGGCCGGACCTGCCATGGGCCAGGCGCCGCTCCAAGAGCTTTATAGAATCAGCTCATAACATGCTTCCAGCAGTCCTAGGAGGTAGAACTGTTACTACTCCCATTTTCCAGATAAATGTCCCTGAGGCACAGAGAAGTGAAGCGATCTGTTTTATCACACACGGCTGACAAGTGGCAGAGCTGGGATTTGGACCTGGATGCTCACAAAACCATGTTCTTAACCACTGCACGTACAGCCCACCAGGCAGGTTTGGAATTCTGGGTTCTGAAATGAACTGCTCCCCCGCTAGGATTCCCTAGGGCCAGATGGGGGCACACCTGTTAGGCAGGAACATGGAGAGCAGGGAGGCGAGAGGGTTGGCCACAATGCTGAGGGTGGCGGCCAGGTGGTAGGCAACCGGCCCGTAGGACAGGCAGGAGTAGGTCTGCACAGAGGGCAGCACACCATTGGTGAGCGCGTTGACAAAGGCCACCAGGGTATAGATGAAGGCCAGGTGGGCCGGGCAGCAGGGAGCTGCTTTCTCCTCTAGGTGTCCCTGGCCCTGGCTGCTGTCCACTGTGCCTGTGGGGCCCAAGTCATTCTCTTCCCGTGGCCGGATGGAGTGGAGGGTGACCTGGTCGTTGAGGAGGTCTTCCACGGAAGCCTCCCAGCACCTGGGTTGACGCTGGAGGACAAAGAATGCCGCGAGGCAGCAGGCCATCATGAAGGACAGCAGGAGGAAGAAGACCAGGGGCGAGAAGTGAGCGGGGAGGTAGCGGGTCTCCAGGTGGGACAGCGGTGCTGCCGTTCTGGGGAGAGTGGACACCAAAGCTCTGGGAATTCCCTGCAAAGGACAAGACAGGTCAGTCAGATCCCTGGTGGGGGCGGGGTCAGAATGCAGAACAATAATCGTGACAGTGAGAATACAGAATACAGATTATGTGTTATTATTAATGGATAATTGATAAATAAATAACTAACAAGGTGGCAGTAATGACTGCTCACACTGACTGCCACTGAGCATGGACACTGCGCATGGATAAGTCCCTGTGTCTCCTAGGCCTGTGCTGTGGGACCATCATCCCCCATTTTAGACAGAACTGAGGCATCAGAATGCTTCGTCCCTTCCCTGAGGGTAACAGGGAGAATGTGGCAAAGCCAGACTTCACTGGGTGCTTTCTGACGGGGAAGCTACACCTTTTATCACTCAGCTACCCTACAGCAGTTGCAACCACAAACATATTCGGAGGAGGGGCTAGCTGGAGACTGAGCTAGCTGGAGACCTAAGGGGAGAGCCCCCTACCTAAGGGGAGAACCCCCTACCTAAGGAGAAAATCCCCCCACCTAAGGAGAGAACCCCCCACCTAAGGGGAGAGCCTCCCACCTAAAGGGAGAACCCCCCACCTAAGGGGAGAGCCCCCCACCTAAGGGGAGAGACTCACCTAAGCAGAGAACCCCCCACCTAAGGGGAGAGCCCCCATGCGTAGGTATGTAAGTAATTCAAATGGGTTTCCTGCTGTTGATCTGCCTTGTCAGTTTAGCTCATAGACCGACCTAAGAGCCTAGAAGGATAGAGGGGAGCAGATTTTCCTTCCCCTACACTTGTGAGCAAACCAAGTGCTGCTCTGGTTCCAGGTACCTGTGTGATGTCAGTCTCCCCTGTGGGCACAGGGCTTGGTATGCTGTCTGACAACTCAGTCACATTGACGCAGGTAGTGAGACCTGAGCCCTGGGCAAGAGCCACCAGGGCAGGCAAGAGGCCACTGAGTCCTTCACCTACAAAGAATGTGGTGAGATAGTAGGTGGGCAGTCGGCTCATGAAGGGCAGGAAGGTGACCGAGGAGGTGCAGTCCACCAGGGCCAGGAAGAAGGTGAGGACCAAGAAGGCGATGCTGTGGTGGCCGTCCAGCACCCAGGAGGGCTTATTCCAGAGGAAGGCAAAGATGATGCAGGTGATGGTTCCCACGCCCAGCAGGGTGAAGATGATGGGCACTTCGGAAAGGCAGCTGGGCCGGAAGCGATGGAGCAGGGTGACCAGGAGGGGTCCGATGTTGGCCAGCTGGATGACCACCGTGAGGTAGGAGGGCAGGTACCAGCCCTCTGGCAGCTCCATCACTAGCAGGGGCAGCTCTACCCAGAGCCCATTGATGGTCACCCAGGAGCCCATTCCGAAGATGCAGACCAGCAGGTGCATGAGGAGGGCCATGGCGGTATCTGCCCTGGGCCGGAGGCCTCCCCAGATCAGCCTGCAGCGGGGCTGGCAGGGAAGGACAGCTTGTGAGTAATTTCAACTTCACCACCTAGCAGGACGCTGTGATCTGGGGCCCCGGGTTTTCTCATATTACTACCCTCCCTGTGAACAAGCTGGCTTTTTAAAAATTTCTTTGAGACAGACTTTCACTCTTTTTACCCAGGCTGGAGTGCAATGGCATGATCTCGGCTCACTGCAACCTCTGTCTCCTGGGCTCAAGTTATTCTCCTGCCTCAGCCTCCCTAGTAGCTGGGATTACAGGCGTGCACCACAACATGAGCTAATTTTGTATTTTTAGCAGAGACACGATTTCACCATGTTGGCCAGGCTGGTGTGGAAATCCTGACCTCACGTGGTCAGCCTGCATTGGCCTCCTAAAGTGCTGGGATTACAGGCATGAGTCACTGCACCTGGCCCAAGCTGGCTTTTTATTAGCACAAAACAATCGAAAGCTTTCCTAACCATGATTCATGAAAATAAAAAATTCAAGACAACACACAAAAGCAAACAAAGCAGCTTCTGCAAAACATACCAACAGCAAAGTCAAAAGTTAAATGAAAACGTGGGGGAAATATTTGTAACATAAATCACAAAGGGCTCATCTTCCTAATATGTAAAGAGTTTTTAAAAATCAAAAGCAAAGAGACCCCACAAAGCAGATGGCCAAGGATATGAACAGGTCAGAGAAAAAGGCACAAATAAGCTTTAAACATATGAAAAGAGTATCACCTTCATTCACAATAGGAAAGCCACTCCAGGGTGCCATTTCCCAACATGAGATTGTCCCAAAGCCTGACAAAGTGACTCGTGTACAAGGTTATTATAGATTGTGACCTTGTTGATAATAGCAAGTTATGGGAAATTTCTCCTCTCCGGCTATCAACAGAGAAGGGGCTAATTCAAGGCACCTATTGGAATACCACACACCTGTTTAAAGGAATAAGGAATAAGGAAAGCAGATCTTATTGGCTGATAAGGAAAGGTCTCCAGGCTATACTGATAATCTTGAAACAAAATCAAGGCAGGTAGACGGAACCAGGAAAATCCGTACTGCCTGTTGGACATAGAAGAGGAGGAAAAATATGTTTTCTTTGCTTGTACTGGTACAAGGCAGCCTTGAAGGACACATATAGGGACTGCAGGGATGTTGGCGATGCCTCTGTCTATCTTTTAATAGAGCTTTGATTTGTGAACCATGTAAACATATTACCTGATGCAAATATGTGGTTACCTGAAATAAAATTTCAATCTGGCTTTTGTTGCCTCCTGAAATTACAGAACTCTCTAGGTGGCCTTTGGAGGCCACTTCGTCTAGCCCTCCGGAACCATTCTGCCATCTGTTTACCCCCTTGGCAGCTACCAGTGGCAGCCCACCTGTGTTGTTACTAACTCTCTTCTATCTTTAGTCTGAGCGGGAATGTGGGAGTGCCAGGAGTGAGGCTCTGGACCCAGCTGTTTGAGTGTGACCCTGGCTCTGCTGCTTACAATCTGGGTGACCCTGGGCAGGTGACCTTGCCTCTCTGGGCCTCATCTCCTCATCTGTAAGTAGGGGACAGTGATGGTATGAATTCTGTGGTTTGTGATGAGATGTAAGTATGCTGGTGAGAATATGTTATTTCCCCTAGTCCCAGTGTACAGCAAGCACCAGTAAGGGTTACAGACCATTGCCGCGAAACGTCAGGTTTGGTGGCATAGCTATTTTTGTTTCATCCCCATGAGAATTAATCCACGACTATGAAACTTTAAAAAGGGAAAAGATTCCTCCACCAGGTATCAACTGAACTCACCAGTGGTATATGCACCTCTTTGTAGAGACACGTCAACTGGGCCAATGTCCACGTTTTGTAGATGGGAGACGGACGGGGTCCGAAGGGGCAGAGGGGCTCTCCTGGGATCTGGACTGGGTTCCCTGCAGCATGCGGCCTGGCCAGGGTTTTTCAGTTCAAGCTGCAGTCTTTAACTCCATACTTCTTCCTTCTAGTACAAAGCAGGAGTGTCAATTTGTGGCCACACTTGACGCAGGAACCTCCAGAATCCCTGACAGCTCCTCAGCACGGTTCCCACACACGGAATTGCCCACAGGGCTGCGACTTCCTTCCTCCTACCTCCACTGAGCAAACCCAATGCTCATTTGCCTTTCTGGCTACCGCCTTTTCCTCTCTGGGAAGAGCCACTCCTGGGGTGTAACGTAGTCAGATCCGCTAGCAGGTCGGCTCTGCTCCTCCCTTCTGGGGGCCTCAGACTCTGTTCCCTCCCTTAGCAAGCTGACTTGACTAACGGCACAGGCAAGGCTTGCTCTGGGGGTGCCAAGAGGACCCAAGGAGGGAGGGGGAGCTCCCAGGCAGCAGTGGCACACCTTTGCCTCTGCTGTCCCCCCGGCCTGGAGTGCTGCCCCTTCTTCTGTCCACATCCAAGCTTTCTACAAGATCCCATCCTCCAGGAGACCTCTGGCTGCCTCAGGTGTCCTCATCGGGGCCCCATGAACCCTTCATTTAAGGTTGTTCTTGTGTGGGTGCATGCAGGCACATACCTTGAGACTGAAGCTTTTTGAGGGCGGGGGCTGCTTGGGAATCTGGCATTTTGAAGGTGGAAGGGCCTTTCTCAATGACTTAGCTCAGGATTTGCAAATTAACACACTGGCCAAAGCCAGAAAGCAGATATATTACTTTGGTTTGCCCAGAGTGTTCAACAGTGTGTTACTGTAATCCTAAATGGAGGGGATGGCAAACAACCGTCAGGATTTCTGGCTTCTCAGGAATATTTTGGAAGAAGTGGCCACCGCTTTGCCCTCTTTCTCCATCCTAGACTCGGGCCATCTTGGCGCTCTCCCCTGCAGTAGCATCTGGAGCCAGATGCCTGGGTTCAAATCCCGGCTTCAACCCTTACAAACTGAGCAAGTGGCTTAACCTCCTGTGCTTCAGTCTTCTCTTGCAAAACAGATAGGCTGTCAGTATCAACATCAGAATTGTTGCTAGGAACATGCAAAGTGCTAGAACTATGCCTGCCACACAGTAAGGGCTCAATGAACCTTTATTATAAGATTACTATTTCAGCAAACATATCAATTGCATTCAAAAACATGTAGTTACCTGCCCAGTGCAGTGGCTCACACCTGTAATCCCAGCACTTTGGGAGGCCGAGGTGGGCCAATCACTTGAGGTCAGGAGTTTGAGACCAGCCTGGCCAACATGGCGAAACCCTGTCTCTACCAAAAATACAAAAATTAGCCAGGTATGGTGGTGCATGCCTGTAGTCCCAGCTACTCTGGAGGCTGAGGTAGGAGAATCACTAGAACCTGGGAGGTGGAGGTTGCAGTGAGCCAAGATCGTGCCACTGCATGCCAACCTGGACAACAGAGCGAGACTCCATCTCAAAAAAGAAAAAGTGAAAAAAGGGACCCAGTTTTTGTTTGGTAAATGGCCACCCAACTAAAGGACTACATTTCCCAGCCTTCCTTGTAGCTGCACATGGTCACGTCATCAAGCACAGGCCAGTAAGTTCATATGCGAGTTTGAGTAGTCTCCTTAGCCCGTTTCCTGTTTAGAAAAGAGGGCGGCTCGCTGCAAACGCTCATTTAATTTTATGTAAACATGCTCTTTGAGGCTGAAGCAAATCTGACTTTTTTTTTAAATTGAGACAGAGTCTTGCTGTGTAGCCCAGGCTGGACTATAGTGGTTTGCTCTCAGACTGCAGTAGCAAGATCTCAGCAGAGCTCTTGATCTCTGCCTCCCAAGTTCAAGTAATTCTCGTGCTACAGTCTCCTGAGTAGCTGGGATTACAGGCGTGTACCACCATGCTCGGCTAACTGTTTGTATTTCTTAGTAGAGACAGGGTTTTTCCAGGTTGCTAAGGCTGGTCTTGAACTCCTGGACTCAAGTGATTCTCCTGCCTCAGCCTCCCAAAGTGCTGGGATTACAGGCATGAGCCACCGCACCCAACCCTATATCTGACTGATTTTCAATGTGAAAATAAAACATAAAAACTATTCTTGGCGTTATTTCTAACCAGAACTAACATAAGAATCATCTATTTCAGAAAAACTGGATTCATCAAATTCACCAAATGGCCAATAACTGTTTG